AGAAGGGGGTCCCAACCCCACAAAAGAGCAGCCACGCTTGAACCACAGCTGGTCGGGGTGGGGGGCTCAGACACGGCCGGCAATCACCCCCCACCCCACATACACAACTTTGAAGGGGCCTTTGACAGCCCAGGAGCGAGGGGGGCCCCTCTGTGCTTATGGGGTGCCCCCTCCGTTGCTGCTGACCTGCCCCCCCCCCAGTTTCCCGGTTGGGGAGGGGTCTCCGGGCTGCGAGTAGAAACAGACCGGTCTCCCCCAACCTGGCCCTCTGGAGAGGGAGGGGCCGCAGCCCCCCTCGGTTGGGGGGAGCCCCCACTGTGTCTGAGCCAGGGGGACCCCAGTGGGGGGACCCCCAATTCTGCCTCCCCTTCTCCTGCCAGGGGTCCGCGTAGTTTTCCTCGCCCCTCCGCGCGCGCCGTTCCAACGAAGACTTCCTGGCCCGGCTGGCAGTGATGTTGGGTTTGTGTGTTGTGTGTGTTGTGTGTGTTGTGTATGTGCGTGCAAGGGAGGAGGTGGCGCACTCAGCCCTGTCCAGGAGTGCCAGCTGCAGTGGGGAAGGGTCCCCGCCATCTCCCCCCCTCTTCCGAGCAAGATGGGTCTGGGCAGGACACACCCATGCTCCTCGGCCCCCAGACCTGCCAGCCCATCATCCAAGGCAGCTGGAGTGGCATTCTCAAGGCGGCATCCCCTGGGGCATTCTATGATTCCGTAAGGGGGTCGGACTAGATGACCTCCGAGGTCCTTTCCAGCTCCGTCATTCTGTGATTCTTTAAGGGTTTCCTGCTTGAGCAGGGGGTCGGACTAGATGACCTCCAGGGTCCCTTCCAGCTCCGTCATTCTGTGATTGTTTAAGGGTTTCTTGGTTGAGCAGGGGGTCGGACTAGATGACCTTTGAGGTTCCTTCTAGCTCTATTAGTCTATCATTCTGTAAGTCTCCTGCTTGAGCAGGGGGTCAGACTAGATGACCTCCAAGGCCCCTTCCAGCTCTGTCATTGTATGATTCTGTAAAGGTTTCCTGCTTGAGCAGGGGGTTGGACTAGATGGCCTCTAAGGTCCCTTTCAACTCTGTTATTCTATGATAATGTAAGGGTCTCCTGCTCAAGCAGGGGGTCAGACTAGATGACCTCCGAGGTCACTTCCAGCTCTGTCATTCTGTGATTCTTTAAGGGTTTCCTGCTGGAGCAGGGGGTCAGACTAGAAGACCACCGAGGTCCCTTCTAGCTCTGTTAGTCTATGATTCTGGAAGGATCTACCACTCGAGCAGGGGGTCAGACTAGATGCCCTCCGAGGCTCCTTTCAACTCATGTCAATCTATGATTCTGGAAGGGTTTCCCGCTCAAGCAGGGGATCAGACTAGATGACCTCCGAGGTCCCTTCCAGCTCTGTCCTTCTGTGATTCTGGAAGGGTCTCCTGCTTGAGTAAGGGGTCAGAGTAGATGACCTCCAAGCTCCCTTCCCACTGTCAATCTATGAAGGGTCTCCTGCTCGAGCAGGGGGTCAGACTGGATGACCTCCGAGGTCCCTTCTAGCTGTGTTAGTCTATGATTCTGAAAGGGTCTCCCACTCGAACAGGGGGTCAGACTAGATGACCTCTGAGGTCCCTTCCAGCTCTGTCATTCTGTGATTCTGTAAGGGTCTCCTGCTGAAGAAGGGGGTCAGACTAGATGACCTCTGAGGTCCCTTCCAGCTCTGTCAATCTGTGATTCTGGAAGGGTCTCCTGCTCGAGCAGGGGGTCGGACTAGATGACCTCCGAGGTCACCTCCAGCTCTGTCATTCTATGATTCTGGAAGGGTCTCCTGCTTGAGCAGGGGTCAGACTAGATGACTGCCAAGGCCCCTTTCAACTCTGTTATTCTATGATAAGGGTCTCCTGCTGGAGCAGGGGGTCAGACTGGATGACCTCCGAGGTCCCTTCCAGCTCTGTCAATCTATGATTCTGGAAGAGTCTCCTGCTCAAGCAGGGGGTCAGACTAGATGATCTCCGAGGTCCCTTCCAACTCTATTATTCTATGACTCTGGAAGGGTCCCCTGCTTGAGTAAGGGGTCAGACTAGATGACCGCCAAGGTCCCTTCTAGCTATGTTAGTCTATGATTCTGGAAGGGTTTCCCATTCGAGCGGGGGATAGGATTAGATGAACCGAGGTGCCTTCCAGCTCTGTCCTTGTATGATTTTGTAAGGGTCTCCTTCTCAAGCAGGGGGTCAGACTAGATGACCCTGGAGGTCCCTTCCAGCTCTTTTAGTCTATGATTCTGGAAGGGTCTCCTGCTCAAGCAGGGGGTTGGACTAGATGACCTCCAAGGTCCCTTCCAACTCTGTCCTTCTGTGATTCTGGAAGGGTCTCCTGCTTGAGTAAGGGGTCAGACTAGATGACCGTCAAGGCCCCTT